TAAAAAAAATCGCGTCAGAACTGGACCAGTTTAAACTGCTCTCGATTTTCAGGTTTTGGTGATCCCCATGGCAGTAGCCTTCTCCCGAACCGCCGGGAGAAGCCTGCCAGCGCCCACGGCTGGGAGGGGGCGCGGTTGCCCATGCCATCCCAGGAGCCCGGGAGAAGGGCTCCCAGCCATGGGGTGCTAGAGAGCTCCCCCCGGCAAGAAAAACCGGTGAGGGGAGGCTACTCCAAGCCCTGACGGTCCCACTGTGGAGAGTCCCATATGGGACACAAGATCAGCACACCAGAGCAAGCAATTGGTCATCAAGCAATACCAGACACAAGCGAGCAATCGTTGAAAATGTGAGTTTAAGTACAAGCGAGACAACAAAAAAGTGCATGGCTTTCCCGAAAGAAAACGAGGGGGGGGAGGGGACTCTCTTCCGTTAAGAACTGTTTACAGGCGATGGATTTTAAGCACAAAAGGGGGGGGGGCTGCTACAAAAAGCGACCGGAATAAAGAGACTGTAAGAGCTTACCGCGTTACAAAAGAACTTCCAGAGACTTTGACAAACATTTGATAAAAGTAAACAATTCTCAAACATGGCGCCATCAACGGTGAAGGACTCTAGAGATAAACAAGCGAAAGTAAAGCTTCTTCCTGGAAGTCCCAGCCCTGCGAGTTCTACTCCTAGACAGGACTCAACAGCGGAACTTCAAAGGCTCTTGTCGGAAGCACTTTGCCCTCTGCTGGAGAAAATCATAGCAATTGACAACAAGCTGGACACACAACAAGCACAAACGGCTGCAAACACGCAGAAAATCGAAAAAACGGAGCAGGAGCTTAAAGTGATTGATACCAACTCAAAAAAGATGGACAAAAAACTGCAGGCACTGGGGGGAAAAGTGTCAAATCTAAGAATCTCGAGTATTACAGCTTCAAATGGAAAGAGCAAGCTATGTCTTGAGACTTTAAGGTATCCAGGAAGAGAAAGGAGAGAATCTGAGACAGATTGTCGGCAACGCTCACGCGCCTATGGCAGAGATGACATCAGATCAACTTCAAAGTGAAACAGATACGGTCAACAGATCGTATTCAGAATTTATTAGAAAGAATAATCTGCCAGGGGAAGTTACAATAAGATTCTCTCGAAGAAAAGTGAGAGACCAACTACTGAAAGCATCTAATGGAGCTACCTTGAAGATAAAAGACAAAGATATAAGAATACTGAAAGATGTTCCATTTGAGATAAGAAGGAAAAGAAGGAAATGTAGAGACTTGACTCCATTTCTACAAAAGCATGATGTTGCCTACAGATGGTTAACACCCGAGGGACTAATCTTCAGATATGCAAATGGTAAAGAAAGGATTGACTCTGTTGAAAAGACTTGTGAATTTTTGCGTCAACATAGCAGCCCCACATGAGAAGGTGTGACCGATGACGCCAAAGAGAACAAGGAAGAAGGAGAGGCTGGATCCTCTGAGGAAGACTCTGACTCTAAATTGGGGGCGGCAGGTCCTAAACAAGGCTATCAGTTGAGAAACAGAAAGGGGAAAAATAGATTGTCAATGTGCTCAGGAATACCTAAAAAGAAGTTTATTGTATATCGTTCTACAATCCTTTTATGAAATTAGAAATGTTGATGAAGCACTTATGTTTAATTAGATAGATGATAATTTTCAACGAAAGTTAACTTGTGTTTAAGTTTAAAGGTAAATTTGTAAACATATGTATGATCACCATCTCTTGGGTTTTTAGAGGGTTTTCTTTAGTTTCTCCCATAGATGTAGTTCCCCTTTCCTAGATTTTCTGTTTGTAGTTTTTAATATGTAGTTATTAGAAAACGCAATAAAAAACATCCCCTACCGGGGGGGGGGGTGTACAATAAAACACCCGCTCTCAGCACACCGTCTGAACGCATCCTATGAGTGTTTAAAGGTAAAACCGTCTTCCTATAAGCAAGCACGCCACAATCTGTTTTCTGTGATTATGTGTGACACATGGCATTTTTTCCCAAATGATCATCTTGGCACAAGATACTGACCACTCAACACTAAACATGGTCTAAATAATAATTATTCATGTCAATGTACATGAACATGGCTAAGAGTCAGCTCCCACTTTTAACTATTTAAGAATCTTTCTTTTGTACCTGATTACAAGGGTAAATTTTGAACAGACAATCTGGATGAAAAAAGATTTTGCTAAGAGCATCTTCCTAACAAATTCAAACTCTGAGGATATAAAGAGAATTCAAGGAGAATGCCCCAATACCTATGGGAATGTTGCCAAGTTTGAGCATTTTCTACAACTGCTGCAAAACAGTTCTATTTAGATGGTACATATAGTAGCCATAGTTAAGAAAAGCATGGGAAAATGTAATTGTCATACTTTTTCTGTTTAAAACCCTTTACACGGGGGGCTAGAAATTCAATTATATGTGTGTGGGGGAGAGGGAGGGAGGGGGAGAGAGAGAGAGAGAGTTGAATTTCTATATATAAATGCTATATTATATATAGAATGTGTGTGTGTGTATTATTTTTAAAACTCATGTCTACCTTTCTCACAGGGATTCAATATTAAAGCTGAAAATGTTAGCCACAGAAATTATTCAGCTATCTGTGTAATAGTAGTTACCCCCGAACATTTTTACATACCACTGTTTTATTTATTTTAAGGTTCACCACATTTACCTCCCAAAGCTACAAGGCAAAACAGGAGAATCAGTTGGCAGCAAGCTCAACCCTTTCTCCACATCAGCTTGTCCCGGTCATGACCGGGACCTCCCAGACTCGCAGGGAACAGGAACGGATGGCGGCTTACCCGAACGTCCCTCCCTGTCACGGCAGGACCAGGGGGCGTGACGCAAGCAAGCGAAAGTCCAGAAGCAGTCCGAGGTCAAGCCGAGCAAATCAGGCAGCGAGGTTCAAACAGGTTCAAATCACAGTCCAAAAGCAGGGTCAGACATACCAGAGTTTCAAGTCCATAAATCACAACGATACCAGAGGAGTCAGAGATGAACGCAGAGTCAATGAAGCCGAGGGTCAAAAGCTGAGGATCAAGCCGATAATAATTCCACAAGGTCTGGAACAGAGATGCAAGGATTCAGGTCCTGACAAATGACGTTTGCCAGCACAAATGACTGCTGGCAACAGACTTGCAGATATACAGTGCTAGCTAATCAACTCATTAGCTAGCCGGGAGCGAGGTCAGGATCCTGTCAATATTCAGGGCTAAGAGATCTTCTGGCACGCATGCGTGCGTTCTGTCTTCGCTCTCTCAGCTGCTGTCCCCGTACATTCCGGAGCCTGGTTACAGGTGGTGGTGAGTCTGATGACGAATTACTGGTATGCAGCAGAGACTGATCCCTTGCAGGTGTTCCCTGTGAGGCTCTATCCTCCTCACCACTTAGATAGCTTTCAGCTACAGGATCCAGTCTTTGCCTTTCTGCTGCAGTACTGTCCTCAGGAGCCTGTAAGTCCAAAGGCTCCTGGCTGGTAGGTGCCTCCTCAGGGGCATCAGCAAGGGCAGGCATGACATCAGCAGGGGCAGGCATGACACTCCCTCGCCCAGCATGCCCCACTCACCAGGGACGAGGAGGGGGGAGGCACGGAGAGGAGAACGAACGCTGCTGAGGAGTCTGAGGTCGCGGCGCTGCTGCCGCGGCGATGGAACGGAACCGTGGGGCCGTCTCAGGAGGAGCGGGCGCAGGCAGCCCCGTATGGGAGAGGAGAGACGGCGTCGGCCGGAGCACTGATCCCAAAAGTGAAGGAAAGGGCGGAGCCAGGGGCAACAGCGTCCAGACCTTTACAGGGGGGCGGGGTCAAGACGGAGGTGGGGCAAGGAGCCGAGGGGGTAATAAAAGGAGGTGAGGAACTGGCTAAGGAGGAGGAGCTGGGCTGGCTATAGCTAATTCCCACCTGTTGGCAAGAGAGAGAAGCGGGGGAGAAGCTGTGCGCCTCGAGGGGCCGAAAGCCAGAATCCAGAACAGGCCAAGGGGGTGAGGAAACCCTCTGACTTGCCCGTCGTCTGAAGCAAGTTCCCTCCTCAGAGCCTTGCTCCCCCGGCTCTGACCTTTCCCGCTGGTGGGTCAGCGTCACTGCTGTCCGCAACTGGTATCGTAGGCAAGACGGCCACAGGCGGCTCACCCCTCGTGGAGGACACCCCGCTTGACACAGCTGTTCCCACTAGTCATTTTTCTCTCGGCCCACTTTATGCAGGGAAGCACGTCTGGTGGGGGAAAAGGGTCTACAGGGAAGAACTTTGAGAGACATAATCAGAAAGCAGAGAAGGGTTAAGCAACCCCTCATACCTGCTGATGCTCCTCTGTAAAAGCTCCAATATTGACTGACAAACACAAGTTTAGTGAAAGATCACAACATGCTTTCCTTTGTGATCCAGCCCTAAATGATTATGAGAAGTATATAGTATACCCCTGGTTAAATAAATTCACTCATTAAAACCAGAGTACTGCTCCAGGAATAATCTCTCATTCTTCCTGTAGTTGTAGCACTGTCTTGTCATTCTAATAACTGCTATCCCACCAGTTGCTGTCAAGATTTTTCCATAAAGGAATGGCTTTACACATGTGCCATTATAGATTATGGGTGTTTAATTTAGTTTCAAACTGAGTGTCTTCCCTAAGTACCAGGCAGCAAGAAGTTTTACTAACAATCACTACCTGCCAAGAAGAGAGACAGGATGCCTCCCACGCTTTATGAAAAACAGCATACTCTAGGAGTGTGGTTCAGCATACCTACCCACACCTTGGGCACTGGTATCGCTTTTGCACATGGCAGCATATGAGAGCAAGCAATATGCTGTAGTCGTTAGGAAGTTTTCAAGTTCACATTCCAACACCATCATGAAATTCACCAGCTGACTATGGATCAGACACTTTATCTCAGCCTAGATTGTTCTGAGGACAAAAAAAAAAATGCCTTGTAGGCTTCCCTGAGATTCCTGAAGGAAAGATGAGATAAAAATAAAAACCTTTAAGAAAGAAAAGCATCACCTGTTTGTTTTGTTTTGGGGGCAGTACCAAGATTTCAGAAGGATTTGATTTTGGTGTTTTTTCCTTTGATGACAGGATTTTGTGCACTTGTTTCCCTGCAAACAACAAACTAAGTTTAAGCAAGAGTAATGAGAACTCGAAACTCTGGCTAACCTAAGTAGCTTGGCCTGCAACATTTATTTACATCATTTATTGTCCACCTATCTCACTTGGACTCAAGGCAGATTACACAGAGTGAGTCATATCGTTAATGTAATTAAGATTTCAAAATACATGCTCCAGCCCTTAATGTTAACACTGACTGTGTATCAATTGTATGGATGATAGTAAAACCATGTTCATAGTGGTGGTTTTAGTTAAGGGAATTTCAACTCCAGTATTTCTATTAAGCACACCAGGCAAAAGGCCTACTTTGGGTCCCTTTCAGAGAAAAAAGTGGGGTAGAAGAGGTCAAGTAAATAAAGTGTTACTCAAAAAGCTGGATGTTGGGGTCTTCACTATCCAAAGGTAATATGACATTGGCTTATATTAATATCACACAGTACAAACAGTTCTGTTAGTAGAACCCCTAATTTATATATGGTATGTAATTTACAAAATATGACTTTACCTGCTACTGTAGTTGACACATCTGTTGATTCACAACACCGTTTATGCTTGAACTGCGTGTCACTGAGGAAAAATGTTTTTAAAAAATCAGCTTCTTTTTCATTTGAGTACTAAAGAAGTAATCATACTCAGCCACTCATAAAATGTTCATTTTTTAAAAAGCTGAAAGCTAATTTTTCCTGTTTAGCCAATATTTTTTTACTATATCAGATTGGTTAGTTGATACAATCAAGATTGTGTTGATATGGTATCTCCCCATTATTCTCAGGATCCAGTTGTCTGATATTGTCATGTGTGAAAGGAAATCTCCATAGCTGCCACAAAACAACAATTTCCACATGCCAGCTTTTACTTCTCCCATGATCAAGAGATAAACACACATAAACCTACACTTAAGAAAGAGCAGTGGTATCCATGGATTTCCTCCTTTCTCCATGGTTGGGGACAGAGGGTGGCGCTTGGTGAAAGGGTCTCCCCACGATACTCACTGGAATGTAGAGTGCCACAGGGGGCAATCCTCTTGCCAATGTTATTTAACATCTATATGTGCACCCTCACCCAGTTAATTCGGAGATATGAGGTGGGCTGTCATCAATATGCAGATGACACCCAGCTCTGTTACTGGATGGGTACCCATCCTCCACCCTGATAACCTGGCCGAGGCTCTGGAGACCGCAGCTGGATGGTTGTGGCAGAGCCGGTTGAAGCTTAATCCATCAAAGACGGAGATCTTGTACCTGAGCCGGTGTGTGTGGGGGAACTGATATCGGTATTAGGCTCCCCACTCTGGAAGGGGCGCTTTTGGTGCAGGCCCAGAAAGTGAGGAGCCTGGGGGTAATACTGGATGCCTCTCCTTCTATGGAGGCCCAGGTTGCCACAGTCACCAGGTCTGCCTTTTTCCACCTTAGGCAGATTAGGTTACTGAGACCCTATCTCTCCCTCCAGGACTTAGCTACAGTGACGCATGAAATGGTCACTTCCAGGCTTGACCACTGCAATTCACTCTGTACAGGCTTACCCGGAAAGTACAGCTGGTGCAAAGTGCAGCAGCATACCTGCTGACGGCGACGCCTGTGTGGGCTCATGTTCAGCAGGTGCTCCAACAATTGCATTAGATACCAGTTGAGTTCCAGATTTGCTTCAAGGTGTTGGTAATAACCTTTAAAGCCTTATACGGCCTGGGACCAACATACCTGAGGGACCACATCTTCCCATATATACCTGAAAGAGCTTTACGCTTGATGGATCAACATCACCTGGTGGTCCCTGGCCCAAAAGACGCCCGTCTTGCCTCGACCAGGGCCAGGGCCTTTTCTGCCCTGGCCCCTGCCTGGTGGAACATGCTTCCCATTGAGATCAGGGCCCTGTGGGATCTTCTTCAGTTCCGCAGGGCCTGTAAGACAGAGCTGTTCTGCCAGGTCTTTGGCTGAGACAGCGGGTATCTAGGTATGGCCTCCCTGAAGTTGTTGTCACCCATTTACTAACAGCTGGCTATCACTCATGTGTTATTGGAGAGTCAAGGAATCCCTCACAACCAGCCAATTCTATTCTTGGGCTGTGACCACCATTTTAATGTATATTACTGTGTTTAAATTTTAACTTTATTTATTATGCTACTGGATGTTGTTACCCTCCCTGAGCCCGCTTGTGGGAAGGGCGGGCTATAAATATGAAAAATAAATAAATAAATAAAATACAATAAACAAGTTCATGCCCATTATCTGCCAAAAACTCCTTAGGGAATCATTGCAGAAAGACAAAATAAATAGCATGTACTGGCCCAAAACAAGGTTCTATAGGCTTTTCATTTACAAAAATTACTCCTATATTATGATCAGGCAGCAATAATTTCCATTGGGAAACATAAAAATAAAAGAAGGTCCCATGAATCGTCTTTATTATTTGATAGCTGTCATTTTGATGGCATCAATTATCTGTTAGGGACAGCAGATTACATTAATCCCATCTCCCTACAATAGGTAATTGTGAAGAAGTCCCCTGGAACCTATTACACTTCTCTGGGAACACAGAAAGGTCACCTGCTTGTTTAGACGTCTTTCTGAGGATGGATCCTACAGGCCTTTATAGGAATTAAAATGTTTATGATAGCCTTCCCAAAAGGACCAGGCCTCTCTGCATGGAGTCAGTGGAGTCAAACTAAACACAGAAGCCATACAAAACAAATCATAAACATTCAAAAACTGAGGCAAATGGTATTAGGAATTGGTTTTAACAACTTTTTAAATCTGAATCCAGGAGGGGGATGAAGAAGAAGAGAAGAGATTGGATTTATACTCCGCCCTTCACTTGGAGTCTCAGAGCGGCTTACAAACTCCTTTCCCTTCCCCTCCCCACAACAGACACCCTGTGAGGTAGGTGGGGCTGAGAGAGCTCTTTCCAAAACTGCTCTTTCAAGACCAGCTCTGATGTATCCGTTACTGAATAGAAACAAAGTATTTAACAGCACACTCCCAAGCAGAATTATACAATTATAGGTGCACAGAAATCAATGAACTTAGAAGGTAGTAACTCTGTCTAGGATTGTGCTAAAGTTGGCTAGCTCATAGCTGAATATGCAGTATCTATTTGAATAATGTTTTCCTGTCAGTCTAAGAAAACCTATTTAAAAAACCTATAGACTTAGCCTGCAAATTGCTCCATTCTCACTCATTCACTCCCAGACCATCTGCCATCTTCCAGCTAGAAAGCTACTCCATGGAACTCGAATCTTATTGGCTCATGAAGATACAACTTACAGAAGCTATGTCACAGTGATCATGCACAGATTCTTAAGCATAGCACTGAGTGTATATACAGACCAATGCTGTGTACAAGGATTTTGGGACCAAGACCAGGGTGTGTTATAGAATCCTTTGACAACACATTGAAAATAAATTGTAAACATAATCATCCTGGAACATAGCTTTTAGCTATATATTAACATATAATTCAGATCACTGTTGCCTATTAGTGAAACTAAGAATGGTAAATAAAGTTCAGAAAATTAAAAGCAACCTATGCCTGGAAAGCTATATGCTCCACAAATTATGACATTACAAAAATATTTTGTTTATATATTACCTTGCATCTCGACCTTCCAAAGTATTTCCTAAAAGAGAACAACAGAGAAGTGTGGATTATGAGTATCATCAATACTTTGTATTATATATCAATGCTGCTGTGAATTACAGAGAAGGTATGATTAATAGAAGAAATGAAGCAATTCTATTTTCTCAAAACAAAATTTGAGTCCAGTGGCACCTTTAAGTTTAATTCTGGGTATAAGCTTCTTCACGCACACTTCTTCAGATACCCATGAAAGCTTATACCCAGAATTAAACTTTGTTGGTATTAAAGGTGCCACTGGACTCAAACTTTGTTCTGTTGCTTCAAAACAATAAGGCTACCCACCTGAATCTAAAGTATAAGATGACACAGTGCAAGCATTCTTTAATGATAATCTTAGGCCCCGGTCACACGGGAGGATTTGCCCCGCGAAACGGACGGGTTGAGGGCGCATCAAACGGGCGCGATCATACTGCAACATCTGGGAAGCGTCACGCACCCGTCCCTGATCCATCCCTTCGGCCCGAAAACGCGCATTGAAAAGGTACCGGCAACAGAGCACTACCTTCTAGATGACGTGCGGCAACTCCAGGCGTCTGATCGGGGAAGCGCTGGTAGCCCGTCGCAGCCAGCGCCGTTCCCCGTCCCACACATGCGCACAAACGTGCAACGTCTGTTTTGCTGCACTACGCCTGATTGCCTGCCAAAGGCCGGAGCACAGAGCCACGGGGGCATGTCGGATCGCGCTACCGTGGTTCTTTTTGCTCCGGCTCTAATTTGCCTCCTTTCAGTGGCGCAGTATCCCGCTCGTGTGACCAGGACCTTAATTTGTCTTATGTGTTGGCAAAATGTACAGATTTGGGAGACCAGGATACTGCTTTTTAGTTTTCAACTGTAAAGTAGCAATGGAAGGGCAGTAATTGGCAAAGGAAAAATGGAAACCTGGAGATGCTTAAACATTCCTGCATGCATTTACTTCCTTCATTCCCCATTCAAGTGACTTACTTCCAGACAGGTTTGCCATACTGGCAGCAAAGTTACAGCCCTCTAAAATCCCTGAAGTCATTGGGTACAGAAGGGTGTAAGTCTGTACAAAATTGCACTGACAGTGGGGGAGGGAGGGGCTAAACACCACCTATCCATTTTTTCTTCTCTTGTGCAAATCATGTACCCTCAGCTGCTTGGCTGTAGAAAAACAGCAACTTGGCTTCTCAGGCTTACATTTCTTGCCAAAGCACAAAGTCTAGTCTTCCACAGAATAGGTACTAAAGAGTGAACATCAGATTTACAGTCAAATGCTTCGATAACATGTAAAAAGTTACCAAATATTTTTGAAAAACTTGGCAATGGTGGCATCTTGTCTATATTGAGGGCTTTGCTGGTGTTCAGGAGCGTAGAGTTCTTGCATCCAAAGTATTCTTTGGATCTAGAACAGGTTTCTTCTAAAGAAAAATGACAAACAATATTAGTTGCTCCCACAATTTTAAAATTAATCAAGTTAAGAACATTAGACGAGCCTTCCTAGATCAGACTAGTGGTTCATCTAGTACTTGAAGGGCTGACAAACAGGGCATGAAGGCCAAGGCCTTTCACTGATTCTTTCTCCTATCACTGGTACTCAGAGGTTCAGTGCCTCTGTGAAGGGTGGTTCCTCTTACCTTAATTAGTAGGCATTGATGGACCTATCCCCCATGAATCGGTTTAACCCCCTTTTAAATCTATCTGTGCCTGTGGTCACCACTTTGTCCACTAGCAGGGAACTCCACAGTTTACTTCCTAACTATGCAAAATTGTATAAACCTCCATCATATCTCCCCATTGCCACTTTTTTTGAGACTGGAAAAGGCCTAGACTCTTCAGCAAATCCTCACAGGACAGGTGCTCCAACCCCATAACCAATGCTAGCTCTGCATTTATAAACTAACTATTCTACAGTAACTCCAGCTGATTTCAATGAGAGCTAACAGATGTATTTGTGATTAGAGTACAAAGCGTAAGTACACTAAAGATGCAGAAAACATGATGTCGAATATATATTTGGGGTATTTAACTGTCAAACCAGGAGTATTTAGATTTAATCCCAGGACTGGGGCAACTGGAAAAGGAAAGGTATGTCAAGAACTGCCAAATCAAAAATTCAAAATGAGGGATGTAGTCAAACGACAACTTTGATCAAACTTTTTTTTTTTTTAATTAAGAAACATTTAGCAATATTCCATAAGGTCAACTTTTCCCACATGACTATTTCCAGGAGCTTCACTGAGCAAATAGAAATACAATTTATTCATGCATAATTTACACAAAATAGTAAAACCTATTAATGTATAATTTGCTGAAAGAGAAATAAAGATGTGCTGTTATCACATCTTCTCTCACTAGTATATCCATGTAGTCAAAACAGGCCTTACTCGGTCAGTTGCTGACCAATGAGAGCTGCCACAGGGGCTCTCTCCCAATTACAGCTTCTGCCAATGAGGCTGTGAGTCTCCTTCCCTCCTCCTGCCTCTCTCCCCAGCCTTCCCTTTGCAGTTTACTTTGTGCACAAAGCAGTTGCTCCTGCATGCTCTGAAGCATGTGACAGTCCTTTTTGCGCTTTAGCCCACCAGCTCACATCAGCCATCGATTCCTCTCATCATCAGCACATAAGATAGGAGCTTGGGGGGGGGGGGCTTTTTGGGGGGGGAGTGAGTTCAAAGGTGGTTGGAAATAGAGGGGGTGGGCAGTAGCAGCCTTTGTATTCTTCCTTTCACAAGTGGACTCGTTACAATTTTTCAGTATGTACGGGCGCTCATGCAGCTGTTTTGGCCCTTGAAAATGCTGGAGGGGGAAGAGTTCTGCACCACAAGCCCATAGTGGAGCGGGACATCACAGCACTGTAAATGGTGATGATGAATGGGTGCTGGACACAATTTTGCCTTCTCTTTTAGCTGGGCTTAGCAAGCGGGGGGGGGGGCACTGTGTGTGTCTGTGGGGGGAGCCCCCCCAACTTCACTTTCCACGTTCATGTAGCTGCAAAGGAAGTGTGTGTGTACACAAGCTGACTAGGGTTGCTGACTTTGTGTGGGGAAATTCCCAGAGATTTGGGAGATGAAGTCTGGGGAAGGGGGGTGAGTGGCTTTAATTGGGTATAATGCCACACAGTCTATCCTCTCAAGTAGCCATTTTCTCTGGAGAAGTGATTGTTGTAGTCTGGGGATCACATTTAATTCTGGGAAATCTCCAGGCTGCACCTGGAGGTTGCCAACCCTAATGTGTCCCAGCCTGAGTGCCTGTAGCTGTCCTCGAATCCTCCTATCCTTGTGTCCTCCTATAGCATGTTACCTGGAACCAAACCAGAGCAGGGCTTGGGGTGGGAAAGGGGGAAGAGTTCAATGGAAGGTGGTGAGAATCAGAGGAGCCATCCATCCAAGAAAATACACACTCTTCTGCAGGAGTCATTTCGTAGAAAAAGAACTGCAGGAGCTCATTAGCATATCTAATAGATTAGCACAATAGTTCATTAGCATATGCCACGCCCCCTGATATCACCGGAAGTTATGTCAGAAGGGGAAGCAAAAAGGAGGGCGGCATCTGCAAAAGCCTCCCCTCCCCTTCCCCAGGAGGGCTGGGAGGGGAGGGAGAGAGAAAGCAAAGAGAGAATGGGTTTAAACTTTAAACCCCTTCTCTCTTCGCTCCCCCCCCCCCAGCCCGCCTGGGGAAGGGGAGGGGAGGCTTTTGAAGATGCCTCCCCCCCTTTTTTCGCTTCCCATGTCGCGCCAGGGCGGGGGGGGGGGGAGCAAAGAGAGAAGGACTTTAAACTTTAAACCCGTCTCTAGAGTCGCACTGCAGCGGTGGTGCGATCTTTCCATTATATTCTATGGGGCCATAGAATACAATGGAAAGAGAAGGGGTTTAAAGTTTAAACCCCTTCTCTCTTTGCTTCCCCCCAGCCTGCCTTGGGGGCAGGCCAGGGAAGGCCGAGGGGGGGTCTCAACAGGCCTTCCCCCACCCATCCGCTTTGGAGGTCGAGTGGGGGAAGGCACAGGGAGGCATTTAAATGTCTTTCCGCTGCTTGTAAGGCCTTCCCCGGACGGCCTGCTTAGGCAAGTGGGCCATGGACGGAGGAGAGGGGGCCTCAGCAGGCCTTCCCTTATCCACCCACACCGGCAGGCGAGCAGGGGAAGGCACAGGGAGGCATTTAAATGCCTCCCCACTGCTTGGAAGGCATTCACCAGCTGGCCCGCTTAGGTGAGCGGACCAGAGAAGACAGGGGGGACCTCAGCAGGCCTACCCCCACCCACCCGCTCCGGCAGGCGAGATGGGGAAGGCACGGGGAGGCATTTAAATTCCTCCCCGCTGCTTGGAAGGCCTTCCCCGGCCGGCCCGCTTAGACGAGTGGGCCAGGGAAGGCGGGGGGGGGGTGTCAGCCTTCCCCTGCCCATCTGCTCTGGCGGGCGAGCAGGCGAAGGCACAGGGAGGCCTTCCCCGGCTGGCCTGCTTAGGCGAGTGGGCCAGGGAAGGCCGGGGGGGTGGGGCTTGCTGGACTCATTACTGACAAAGTGCCGCTTCAGTGTGCTCCGGCAGGAAAGGACCCCTGCTCTTCTGTGATTACAGCCTAATTTCATGCTCAGAGGAAGCAACAAACACTTTTATAGTGATACATTGCTGGCTTTGGGATTCCCATTTGGCACACTGCAACCCAGGAAAGTAGAAGGGGGAGAAACAATGGGGGTTCTTCATGTATTTACAAGAGTCTGCTCATCATGTGTAAACACAAGAAGGGGATATCTGACTTTAGATAAAAAACTGATTATTGCTTAAACTTCTCTGTAGAATGATCCCTTATAGAGACTTTGTGCTACATCATATCATGTTCACTGAGTTCTGCATTCCCAAATACAGTTGTGGCTTTGCAGTTGTTGCTGACAATTCGTGTTTCAATGGCATCGCTGAAGGAGCTTCAGCAATATGAAATTAATTAACAATTCCGGTCACAAATGTCCCAAGATCAACTGAATGTTTTAACAGTTCTGTCAATTGCATCACATGAAGCACCATATGTTGAGTTTGATACTAGGCTTCACCATTTTGCTGTTAAAAAAACAAGGTGGAACATGGTTTGATTACACTTGAGAACCAGCATGGTGTAGTAGTTAAGAGTGGAGGACTCTAAGCTGGAGAACCAGGTTTGATTCCCCACTCTTCCCTCCACATGAAGCCTGCTACGTGACCTTGGGCCAGTCACAGTTCTCTCAGAACTCTCTCAGCCGCACCTACCTCACAAGGTGCCTGTTGTGGGAAGAGGAGGGAAGGAGACTGTAAGCTGCTTTGAGACTTCTTAGGGTAGAGAAAAGTGGGGTATAAAAACCATCTCTTTCTTCTTCTTTTACGCTCCTAGAGATGTAACTTTCTAGAACACTTCTAGGCATTCACATATCTACATGAAACCCTGCCCGGACCCTCAAAGGATTTGGCTTTCAGTTAGTTAGTTTTCATTTGCAAACATCATATGCAATTCATGTTTAAGGGAATATTGTTATGGAAAAAGAAATATATTTGTCATATCATTCTTACATCTAAGTTATTTTGTTTTATACAAGGTAATAAAAAGTAAGAAAGCAAAATTTTGTATGATTTCTCTTTACCAAAGCAAAATTGAAATGGAAAAGGGAGTGGTTAAAGAAGAAAAGGCAGAGCCAATTGGTTAAAGAAGAAAAGGTAGTGCTAAGGGGAAAAGCCAATTGGAAGGGATATGGCTTGGGAAGAAAGCACTGTACCAAAGGGAAAAGGGGGCCCACTTATAGCTTTTTGCCCAGGGCCCACAAAAACCCGCAACTGGCCCTGCACCCAGGTATAAAGCACATATAATATATACCTAAATCACTGTCATCCCTGAATGTTTCAGGCGATGAGTAACTATTTGTTCTATCACCAGATTCTGTATTAGCTTCTATACTAGAATCCAAGCACTCTAGCAGAAAGTCTGAAACACCAGTTGGTAGGGTCATCCCTGTAATTAAAGAGAACATGTAAGAATATTTGACTCATTTACACTGAACATATTCTGCATAAACCTGACGGTCACTCCTGCAAAAGGACACAAAATTTTAAGGTTTGGGTTTCATTTTGTCGAAATCTGCACATCTCCAGTTCTGACTATATTTGTACAGGTTTATATATTTGTATAGAACTGCAAACAGAAAAGGCACATAACAAACTAATAGGTGCAGGAAGAGTTGCCAACAAAGTACATATTGTATTCTTATATTTACAGTACAGAAACCACATTATTCAGGTTCCAGTATAATCACTGCAATTGTTCTTTATAGTGAGCACAACACACATTGTATGAATGAATAGATAAATACCACCTCTGAATGTAGCTACAGTAGTTTGTTTGGAATATTAACTTTTAGCAAATTTATTTAACTATTTCAAAGGAACTTACAAGACACTGACATTCTACATTCATTTCCCCCTAAAATGAAGACAATAGACCTCATCAAACCAGACAGCCTACCTAATCCCTGTTATTGCCCTACATCAATAATTTAACATACTCTGTTATTCCTGGAAGCAGCCAGTGCCCCAGTCCTGGTTGCACAATATAATTATGGAAAAAGAGAACCAAGAACAGCTATGAACAGCAAGTAAACAGAACAGAGGATCAACTGGTTAACTTTATAGCTTCTGCTGCTGGCCCGTTCAGGTTCTTAAGGCATGAAGAAATACACCCCAGTCTACTGAATTTTTCATCAAAATCCATTTGAACGTTCAGTAGTCTAAAATCTAATGATTAACTGGTTGCATTATCTGAACCAACCTTACAAGTACCAACCCAAGGTGTTAAGCATTCTGCATGTACTTCATTATTATTTATAGCTTCGTCCCAGAATTTCTTCCCTTCTTTATGCCATATATCAAGTCAATAAAACTTAATGTAAAAAGTAGGTTTCCCTCCCCTTGATAGCCCAGGCTAGCCTGATCTCATTAGATCTTGCAAGCTAACCAGGGTTGGCCCTGGTCAATATTTGGATGGGAGACCACCAAGGAAAACCAGGGTCATTACGCAGAAGCAGGCAATGGCAAACCATCTCTGAATGTCTCTAGCCTTGAAAACCCTACAGGGTCACTATATATTGGCTGAGACTTGATGGCAAAAAAACAAGTTAGCCTGCATGAGAAAAACTGCAGGATAGGCAATGGAATTGGCACAGGAAACCCACATACTGTTTAATAGTATTTTACATAAGGACTAGTCCTGCAAGTCAGATATTAAATATATATTAGTAAGTAAAGAGATCTTGATCCCATCACACTTAAGCATACTAACCTGAACTAGTCCACACTTAAGCATACTAACCTGAACTAGTCTCGTTACTTCCCAGGCTTTCTCTACTTCCAGAGTTCAAATGCAGAAAATCCTAAAGTCGACAGTGGAAGATTCAGATGGTAAAGCATGATCTAGATGAAACTGAGATTTTCCTTTTTACCATACAAAACTCAAACAATCTCCTGGACATGTATCCCTTTAAAACAGAGTTTTACACAATCAATAATTCAAGTTATATTGTTCTAATTTTGACTAGAAAACTGATATACAAGTGGTGGTGGTGAGCTATACTGGTAACTACTGCAAGTTGCCTTGATAATCACTTACCTGGGGGGGGGGGGAGATTGCCACTTCAAAACTAGAATCATCAAGATACAGAGCGGTACTTGCTGACTACAAAGCCAAACAATGGGCTGAATCACTGGATCATTCCGCAGAAAGAAAAACTTCCTGAAAAGTATCTTTTCCTATATTCACATCACTTCCAAAACTGATTTCCTAATTACTAAATATTAGTGAGCATACTGTAACACCATTAGTTGCATTCGAATTATCTTATATGTATTTTGATAGTGTCTAAAAAAGAAATTACCATTTATACCCTATTAAGAAATCTAACAATAGAATTCATACCTGAGTTGTATCACTGTCCATTTCACTGATATTTTCATTCATATTCATGCCTGTGTTTTCATTGTAATTCAGTTTAACACTATACAAAAACAAAAAATTATGGGACAATATTTGTCATAGAATAGTTCAACCTTCTCTACTATTTGCAACCTCCTTCTGGCAAATGGTGACTGCCCCTAATTTGAAACATATTACAACACCCTTGAAAGATGGAGGTTACATTACAGCTACTATGGAGATACTGCAAAAATGGAGCAAGTCACCCCCAAAAAGGAGTAACTCTTTCCACTGTGCCTACAAACATACATTAGATGGTTTGATACCATGTTGAAATCCTCCCCAAGAGTATTTCATGTGAGTGTAATACTGTACCTTTGTTCAGCTGAAAAGCAATCCACCTTAGAGTTTTCTTGAATCGCTGGTAATGTTTTTGCATTGATGCTTCCAATCTGCCCTGAAGAAAAGCAGACACTTACTCAAATAGTAGATTACCAAAACTAAGTGGGGAAAAATTGTGCAGTTTTAAGACCTTAGTTTTTAACATAGATTAGGTTCCACTGTGCAAAAAAAAAAAAAAAAGAGCAATGCTGCACAACACATTTCAGCCAGCAGAAAACAGTGACAGGTTGCTTTTCCCTAGGCATGATAATTTTTAAAAAATAAAAAATCAGATACATGTAATTAATCCCTTTTCAAGTAAGGGGGGCACGTGCAGTGACCATCTTATCTACAATCTATCTACAACACACACACATTGGAACAGAGGGTTTTCTCCAAGGTCATCCAATTGCAATTACTCTGCATGGGGTGGGGGAACCCCTCGTGGCCCGCTTTAATGAGCCAGGGAGGGCACGGATCAAAGCTGCATGTGGTTGAGCGCACAGTCAAGAGCAATCTGTCAACTTCCTCCAGGCTGAGAGAGCCGAAATGATCCAAACCCGACACTGAAGACGTGCTTGGGGCCTCGAGCTCGCTCACTGTTTCAGCTGTGGCGGGGAGATCACAGCAAAACGACAAGACTTTATCTGTGAAATAGCTCAACGGTCACCTCGAGACTAGACTACTGCAACGCTCTCTACATGGGGCTGCCCTTGTTGCAGATTCGGAAGCTGCAGCTAGTGCAGAATACCGTGACCAGGCTGTTGATGGGCTTTCCAAGATGGGAGCACATCCAGCCTGTGCTGAAGGCCCTGCACTGGCTGCCAATAGCATACCAAGTTCGCTTCAAGGTGCTGGTACTTACCTTTAAAGCTCTATATGGCCAGGCTCCGCCATACCTGAGGGACCGCCTTTCCCCGCATATACCCCAGAGAGCACTGTGGTCGGGGTCACAGAATCAGCTGACCCTCCCGGGCCCTAAGGACGACAGGCTCACTTCGACAAGGGCTAGGGCCTTTTTAGTGGCGGCTCCGTACTGGTGGAATGAGCTCCCGGAAGAGATCAGGGCCCTGCGGGACCTATTACAGTTCTGCAGGGCCTGCAAGATGGAGCTCTTCCACCAGGCGTTTGATTAGGAGCCGCCCCACTAATACCATCAACAAGCGCAGTCCTCAGTTTCAACATCTGGCTCATTACACAGAGTGACTCAGGAGGACACTGAACTGAACTCAGCAGTTGGAGACATATCCAGTATGCCACCGCACACAGGAATTGTATTACTAATAATTAGCACCTTATGTTTTTATGTTCTATGTTTTATAATCCTATATCGTAGTGTTTTATAATGTTATATAGTTTTATCGGCAATGTGCCAATGTTGTAAGCTGCCCTGAGCCTGCATGCGGGGAGGGCGGGATATAAATCGAAGAAATAAATAAATAAATAAATAAAGGAAGGCCTTACTAAATCAGACCTAGTCCAGCAATATTTACAAAATCCCAGAAAGTAGCAGACAGGAAATTGGCTGGTAACCTACTGATGGACCATGCTATTCTATCAGTTTACTCCACTATACAGCACAATTGTATGAAACCAAGAAAAACAAATGTATTAAGTTCCATGTGGTCAAGGGCCACAAAACATCATGTTCAAACCCCAGCCCTTGAAAGCAGGGAGGATTAACAAAGCATGAGGTTCTTGGGCTTGTCCAGGGATAGCAACTACAGTGTGCTTTATGCATGAACAGAAATTTGAACAAAGTTCCTCCCATTTCTAAACACACGCTATTCAGTGCATAGCACAGGCTCAAATGCCTTCACACGTTACACCCCCTCACACACAGAAATTGATTCCATTTAGAAAGTACAATGAATTAAGATAACACGTACAACTGTTTTCCCCCCACTACAACAAAACAGACTGAGCAAAAGAAAGATGCAACATCAGGCATTAAGTTCAACGTACCTATGCAGAATAAGATAGTTCATACTTAGGGGGGAATGGAAACACTTTAAAGAATTAGTTGAATGAAATAAGCCAAACAAATTTTGAAAGAAAGAATTAAGAACACCAAAAATGGGGTAGTTCAATCTTCTAACTTCATGATTCATTCAAGCAGGCCATTAAGGGATTTTCTATGACACTCCTAGCAGACTTAGAAGATTTTGATTTATGCCTCTAATTAAAACCACCACTAAAGGATTTTGCATATGAGCCTAAGCATATGCATACAGACTCTCCACTTTCCTCCTCACCTCTATCAGAAATGCAAATTATGGTAATATTTGGACAGAACCTATATTTACGTTCTCATCTCTTACATATAACACACAGCTAATTATTTACAAAGGAACCTTTTGTACTAGGCAAAACAAAACACATTTAACCCAGTCGCACAGGAATGGAAGAGGGAAGGAAAGTTCATTGCACAGGGCAGGAATTAATACTTTTGGCACAAAGCTGCCTCTTGCGTTTGGAAAGCAGGTTTAAGCACTGCCGAGGGGCATTCCTCCTGCCCACAGTATCAGGAACTACCATGCCCGGCACAGGAGAAGCACAGTGTACTTTCGTTTGGGCCTTCCTTTTCCCAGAATAGGTGTGCAATTTGTTCCAGTCCATTTTACTCGCTTTTTCTCTCTAGAACAGCACTGTCTGCAAGGCAAAAGAGGGTATAGTGAGAAGAGCATTGATCAAGGGAGGGATATCCCCAAACATTGCTGCCACAAAGGCCTGAGCCAACTGCTTTCACAAAATGAAACACAGAAAAACCCCTCCCCAAAATCTGTGGAAACAACAGAAAGCAGTCAAGTTTCAAAGGTTTCATACAGAGGGATGCCAAGTCCAGACTAGACACAAAAGGAATGGGAATTACTCATTGGTGCTCTATGGACTTCTACCCGTCACAGAGCTTTGGTATCACTTAGGTTAATATCAGCACTCGCTAGCGGTTATTGATCCCACTTAAGACTCCTCTGGTTTACTCCTCAAAGGTGAAAATAAATCCTAAGAGGGGCTTTCAACCCAGGCTTTCTGTGTGTTGCCTGTGCCGCTCTGGGAAACGCCAGTAGCAGCCAGCATTCATAATTGGGCTCACACTGGATCTTTTATCCACCCTCACACTGCTTATTTAGGAATCATTTCAAAGGTTTTCACTGAACGCTACGGCACAGACTAAGAGGAACAACACAGCAGCTCGTCTACGTCACACTTCGCTCCCACTGGCAACTCCTTGGTACAACTACTACTAGCCTCTTATCCGTGCCTCCTCGGCGACTAACCGCCTCGCCTAACCACTCGTTTCCTCCAGCAGACGCTTTGAGGGTGAGAAATGTGATAAGCAGCATCTACCATCCAATAATAACCCAGGGCGTCATTCGGGACTCCAGTCCACTAGTCCCGCCCACTGCGGGAACGAGCGTTTCCAGGGGCGGGCAAAGCGGCTCTCTTGTCGCCCCGCCCTTTTGGTGGTGCCCTCCCAGGATCTTAAGAGCTCTGGGAATCCCTTCTCGTGATCGTAAGGAAGTCGCCTCGATGAACGAGAAATTTGCTTCAAGGTAAAGGTAACAGCGTTCCGTGCGCCTTGGTGTTTAGTCATGCCGGTCACATGACCACGGAAATGTCGGACAGCGCTGGCTCTTCGGCTTTGAAACGGAGATGAGCACTGCAACCCTGGAGTCGGATCGGATTCGACTGGCTTTCGAGCAAGGGAACCTTTACCTTTACAAAAGCTGTGTAGGGTCGGGCTTCACAATGCAATATCGAAAAGTCCCTCTGCCGAACCCCTTAGTCTCTTCTCTCTTGAAAACCCACCCTCCTCCTTGCGCGCGGGGGGCGCATTTTCACGCATTTTAAACGAGGGGAACATGAGGAGGAAAGTCACGTCTGGTACTGAACGCTGTTCCTTTGAAAACTCAGCTGCCTACGATGTTGGTTTAGCCGCATTATAACGCGCTCGTTCCATTACAGCGACGCTACTCAGCGCCTCAGGAACCACCTGTGGCTCTTCAGAGGACCTTTACCTAGCGGGGCTCCCATTACATATTCCCAGGAAGTTAGCCCGGGCTGTTGGCAGTAGGGCTTTTGATTGGCAGGTTGAAACAGCCGCCGACGAAGAGACAGGAGAACTTACAGTTTCCCCCATCTATAGGCCAAGAAAGAAATTATGGGGGGACATAATGTAAATTTCCCTTTTCAAAGTACTGTAAGGTTTTGGAGCGTTGAGTCAACCCATTGCCCCTCATTTCCCTTCACCTAGCCACTCTCCTTTCCCTTAAGTGGACACTAATATTCTTTGGCTCCTGAATAGGGTTGCTAACCTCCAGGCGGCACCTGGAGATCTCCTGCTAGTACAGTTGATCTCCAGACTTCCCAGATCAGTTCCCCTGAAGAAAAGGGCTGTTTTGGAGGATGTACTCTGTCTCTATGGCATTATACCCTGCTGAGCTCCCTCCCCTCCCCTCCCCTCCCCTCCCAACACCCCAAACTCCACCATCCCAATGCTCCACCCACAAAAAAGGAATTTCCCAGGCCACAGCTGACAGCCCTACTCCTGAAATGGCTTTGTTTTAATGGGGGTGGGTGGGATTCCCTGTAGTTCTTTGTTTTTTTAACCAATGAACATTTCCCTGCATACCCCAAGAGTTCACTGAACATACAGAAATTTCACCACCGTCTGTGGGTGGCCCTGGTTTCCCAGCTCTACTGATAGCGACTTGATAGCGACTTGAGCATCGACTTCATTATTAGAAAGAATAATAATGTGACATTTTCAATAGCTTTTAAATTATGTTGATAAATACATGAACATATTCCTTGGTGATGTCCATGGCAGTTTTTGTTTTGCTCGGTAGAGGGTAGTCAGAACCATGTGTTGAATATGGTGAGTTTGCTGAGTTGCAATCCAATCATCCCTTTTGCTGAATTGCAATCCAATCATACCGCTTTAAAAATTTTTAATCTCATTATTATTATTATTATCTTGTTTCCCGACAGTGTAATCTATGATTAAATATAAGCTAAAATCTTTGCCCCTTTTATGCCCATTCATTTCTTTTCTTAAGAAACAGTTTTAACAAGAGTGATACAGTATTTGAGTCGCTGTGGAATGTTTATATATCTATATTTCCCCCATTTTTTCTTCTGTAAACTAAAATTCTGAAGCTCTATTAAATGTAATCTTTGGTTCTTTCTTCTGAATACTCTCCACAGTTATACATTTATCAAAATGTGGTTCTCAGAGAGAATATAATACTCTTTGGAGTGATCTTACAGTGCTGTTGAGTCCTTTCTTGTAGGCCTACCATAGGGTGCTGCAGAATGCCCATTTATTTTCCCATTCTACAACCAAGTATGATGTGGAAGATTTGGGATCTGGTACCTCAACATTTAAAAAATATATAAATAAACCAGCCTTTGAAGTCCCTAAATTACATTGTGGGTAATAGTGTGTATGGGGGGGAGGAGTTTAACATTTCCTGTTGACATTGATTCCTCAGTAGAAATCTTTCCCCTCAACCCTAAAAAGTTATTGGTTGTAGTCGGATAAAAAGAAAGATACAAATTTTATTTATTATTTATTTCATTGTTTGTATCCTGCCCTGCCCCCCCAAATGGGCTCAGGGCGGCTTACGACATTCAGTAAAATGATCATTTATCATTCAGCAATAAATAAAACATTGAAAGAACAGTTGCAGTTAAATTTCCTGATGGCAGTGTAATAATTTCTAATTACAGTGCCTGCTGCACTAATGCTAGGAAGGGCACATTTCTCTTACAGAGATCCAAGTCAGCTGGTGCTGGTGCCAAGTTGGTAAAGTCAGTGCCCTAAAGCAGGAAGGCAAAGGGCAGATTAATCGAGCAAGGCAAGAAAGGCTGGTGTTGTTTGGATATCCGCTGCCTTAGTCAAAGGCCTGGTGGAACAGTTCCATTTTGCAGGCCCTGCAGAATTGTAATAAAAATAGTTTTACATCTCACTGACCAGTTGTAAAGAATACTGCCTTTACTTTTATTTAAACTCCACTAAGTTAAAGACTGGTAAAAGGTGATATTCAGAGAAGAAGGTTGAGAAAGCTAGGCCCTCAGTTACTACACAATAAAATATATTGGATGTGAATTTGTTAAAAAAGATTCTGCACTAAAAAAAATCATTTCAATCAAATATATGTTCCACTTCCAGAGATGCTTAAGCTCCCACATAACGGCATGTATCCGACTTTAGGCTGGAGAAAACTTCCTCCTCTGTAAGTGGCCCTTCCTTTGGAGGAGAAGCCTTTTAAGTTACAGAAAGGCTCCTTAGGCTGGTGAAAGGCTTCAAATTCATCTCCATGAAGTGGCAGAATTCATGCCAGTATGTGGCTGTATAGAGGAGAAATACATGGGCTTCTCCTGTGCCCTCACGCAACAGAGGGTGCTTTGTATCAAACAGATCTTCTAGCGCTCCCACTTTTGTAGCCTCCTCTCTTCTATATACTTCCTAATAAGAACAATGAATGTAAATGGCTGCACATTCCACCCTCACATGATTGCATTTTATGATATTTTAAGAATACATATCCTGCCTTTCAATTTACTAAAGTCTAATTATTCTGAACAATAGTGCTAGACTTGAAATTTAAAAAAATCTACACAGTGGAGACATGTACCCCACTGCAAACCAAGGGGAACCCCCAGATTTTCAGAAAACCCCCCAACATTTAGAAAAAACAAAGTGGGGAAATTCTGTGAAATCTCAAGATCACTGTGGGATTGCCTAGCAACCCATACATTGGAACCAAGGCCTAGGCAACTCTAGCATGACTGCAGGTTGGGGGAAAGCAGCATCTGTGTGGGGGAGGGAAAGAAAGTGATGAATGGGGAAGAGAGAAAGTGGGGAATGGAGGAAGGGCTTGGGAGAAGGAGAATGGAAAACGGGCCAGAAGAGTATGTAGTGAACAAGCTGAGAAGATGGTGGAAAACAGGGTGGGGATAGAAAAAGCAGAAAAAGAGGTGGGAAGAGAGCGGGGACAATGTGGAGGGATGAGATTTCCCTGTCTCACAAGTCTCCTGGGTCCTCAGGTAGTTGTAGTATATTATTTGGAACTAATTTGCACAGGTCAAGCCACACATTCAGAAAAGGCATGAAATACCTGTGTCTGAAGACATATACACCCAGGAGCATAAGGGATTGCATGTGTGAATAACATCCCTCCAAAACTTCTTGCACAAAGAACATCAAAGCAAATATAAGACCAGAATTCCTTTCCCTGACAAAAAAATCTTTGGGGGTGATTAAAGTGCATCTATATATCTAATAGTGAAAGGTGCCCCCTGTGTGCGGATACCTAAATCCGCGCATCGGGGGTACCTGGGGGGGGGAGGGAGATTTTCTTGCACACTTGGGGCAGTCCCCAGGTGTGCACAAAAATCTAAAAACACGGAGGGTAAGGGCCTGAAACA